TACATTACTTTATACAAAAATATATTTTGTTATATTATGATTATTAATTAATTATAACTATATTTAGTGTTATTAATTAATATATTATATTATACTATAATAATATGATATATTATATAATAATTGATATAATACACAAACAATATATTTAATATAATATTTCAGTTCTTGTCTACAAAGTTTCTGCTAATTAGTTGGTTATCTGACTTAATCACTAGGGCTTACCCTCTTTCTAAAGTAGAGAAATCGCCGGTTGGGTTGGTCCGACCAAGAAAGGCATGTGAGTAGAGAGACGTAGCTTGGGCTAAGTAAAACTTGGACCGAGTTAAGTAAAGACCGGCTACCTATAAAGATCCCTCATTGTGCACTTTGACCTGTTTTTTAATCCTCCAAATTTAGTATTCCTTTCAGCACTCATTCTTGTTCTTTCTGACGATCTTGAAGATAGTCTATTTTCTCATTTAGTAGTTCTAGAAAAAATATCTTGAAGAACTCTGCCATCATTTTTCTTTAACTCGGCAAAGTGGCTGCTAAACACTCGGGAGGAGATTAATTCAATGTGTCATTTATTTCAGTGCTCACCTTTTTCCCACTAGGGGCCTTTATTTGATTAGAGTAGGGGTCACGAGAGAGCATAGCGTACCGCCCTGCCATAGGCGTGAGGATCTTTATAGTTGGCTGTGAACTGCTTCGGCGTCGTATCATACAGACTGCTATGATACATTAGAACTAGTATAAACTATTGAAACCCTTGTTGTTGAGCGTTGTTTTATTCAATATAATGTTATTTAAGATATTATACTATTTTTAAAATATAATATTATTTTTATTATCCCCAAATTTTCACACATTACCCTACTTAAGAGAAGTTCAAGAAATAACTCTTTCACATAATTTCTTAGACTTCAAACCGCTTACAAGATAAATTTAAAGAAAAAACTTTCAGGACACCGTATCCTACATGATGAGAGCAACAAGCTGGTGGAAAATTCATCTTTCAAGTTCAATATCAAGTTAGGCCCAAGAAGCTTCAAGAACGCAGCTACAATAAGACTTCAACAGAGCCGTATATCCTCATGACGCCCAGGACTCCCACCAAAAATAAAAAGTGACATTCACATGATGCAACACTTGGGGCCGTGAACGGGAGAATAGAAAACAACACCAGACAGTACAAGAACTAAAATAAATTAATGAAAGCTAATAAGCGGGCCCTAATCCCATGTTAGATGGCTAGCGCTAACAAACAAAGCTTAAGCGATTATCCCACTTGTCCTAACTTGTCCCAGTCAATAACCCTTCCTTAGTAGATGAAGTTAGATGTGAGGAATATTCCTTCAAATAAAATGGTTTTATACTAGTCCAAACACAAAATTGGAATTTAAATTTTTTTGAGGGTCTAGCTTTAGTGCTACTAAAATATATTTTTATTTAATTTTTAATTAAAAGGATTTTTGTATTTTCTTCCCCCACTTTCTCTCTTTAGAAGGGGTTATTGGTTAGTGTAATATAGGGATAAATTTTGGGACACCGCTTTTTGGTGTCATTGGTTAGGATATGGTTTTGTGGGACACTAGTAGGATAATTACCCACAGGGGATAAAATTATCCTATTCATGTAGGAAAAAATTATCCCCAAGCCAAAATTTACCCCAACTCTCATAATGAAACAATTTGAAAATTATAGTAATTATCATAAAATATAATATTATATTTTAATAATAGTATAATATTTTAAATAATATTATATTGAATAAAACAAAATATTATAATATTTAAATTTATATTAAATTAAAAATATATTGTTGAAATATTATATTAAAATATTGTTTGTATATTATATCAATTATTATATAATATATCATATTATTATACTATAATATATATTAATTAATAACATTAAACATAGTTATAATTAGTAATTATAATATAACATAATATATTTTAGTATAAAGTAAAATAATGTATTATATTATAATAACATACTAAATAATATACTAAAACAATTGGATAAATTAATTTGGACTTAATTAATAAATAAATATTATATTTTAATAAGGTGTCACATCAATTATCTCATGTGAATTGTCAAACCAAAGCTTCAAATTGTCCCATTATACTAATTTTTCCCACTTTACTCCACTCAACCACATAGTAAGAGAAGTTCAATAAATAACTCTTTCACATAATTTCTAAGAGCATACACTTTGCAAATAAATTTAAAGAAAAAACTTTCAGGACTCCGTATATTACATGATAAGAAAAACAAGCTGATGGAAAATTCCTTTTTCGAGCTCTAATATCCAGTGTTTTAAGTGTCGGCCGACATGTTAGAGATGTCGGATTTAGGGGCCAACAGACACAAAATAGAGCTTTTCAATGCGTATTACGTTTTTAGGGTTCATGTAGGATATATCAGCGGATATGTCGGGTGATATGTCGGTTATGTCGGTCGGTTTTTAGTCTGAAAAATTAACTAATTTTTTATTTTTTGGTTATGTTTGTCAAATCAGGTTTGAGTTTAAATTCTTGATTGTCTTAATATTAATTCCAAAGACAAAAATCGATAAGTTAAGGGAAATGGAAAAAAAAAGACCGAAGTAATATTCGTCGCACATCTTCTCTCTCCTTCAACATGTCATCAGTCTCTTCTCCAAGCTATTCCTTTGACATCAATATCGGATGATCTTCTCTCTTCTTAACCGCTAATATCGGATTTCTCACCTCTTTCGTTCAACATCAACCCTAAGCATCATTAAGTTAGTTATTCTTTTATATGTTTAAACAATAGAATTTTTAAGTCTATTCAGATTTTATTTATGATATTTATATTACACATATACACACCATCCGATATGACAATCTGATATTTTTTTCATATCCCCCGACATATCCCCGATTTTTGCTATCCGACATGAATTTTAGCCGTCCGACATGAACCCGACATCCGACATTTAAAACCTTGCTAATATCAAGTTAGGGCCAAGGGGCTTCCAGAACGCAACTGCAATAAGACTTCAACAGAGCCGTATATCCCCATGACGCCCAGAACTCCCACCAAAAATAAAAAGTGACATTTACTTGATGCAAAACTGGGTGTCGCGAACGGGAGAACAGAAGACAACGCTAGACAATACAAGAAGTAAAATAAATTAATAAAGTCTAATACTTATCTCATGTGAGATGCTAGCACTAACAAACAAAGTTTAAGTGATTATTCCACTTGTCCCTAACTTGTCCCAACTTCTCCTTAGTAGATGAAGTTAGATGTGAGAGGAATATTCCATCAAATCAAATGATTTTATACTAGTCCAAACTCAAATTTGAATTTTAAATTTATTTTGAGGGTCTAGCTTCAGTACTACTAAAATATGTTTTTATTTAATTTTTAATTGAAAGGATTTGTGTACTTAGGAGGGGTTATTGGTTGGTGCAATATGGGGATAAATTTTGGCACAATGCTTTTTGGTGGTATTGGTTAGGATAATGGGATTGAGACAATAACTTTTGGTGTTATTGATTTTGTGGGATACTAGTAGGATAATTACCCCATATGGAATAAAATTATGAAAAAAATTGCCCCAAGCCAAAATTTACCCCAACTCCCATAATGGAACAATTTGAAAATAATGGTAATTATCATAAAATATAATATTATATTTTACTAGTAGTATAATATTTTAAATATATTATATTGAATAAAATAAAATATTATAGTATTTATATTTATATTAAATTTAAAAATATATTATTGAAATGTTATATTAAATATATTGTTCATATATTAGATCAATTATTATATAATTTATCATATTATTGTAATATATTATATTATAATAATATGATATATCATATCGCCATACTACACCAACCAATAACCCCTCCCCTTAGTAGCTCATGTAACAAAATGAGCCTGCCATCACATACACATTATTTCCTCTCTCTTCTCTCTTCTCTATATATATATATACTCTCTCTCTCTCTCTCTATATATATATAGGAGAGAAGACAGAGAGAGAGAGAGAGATCTTATGTACTTAGTGGATAGGAATTAGTCCATTCACCAAATTTTTCAGATTTAATTCTGGATCGTGGAAGAATTGAAGTCGGATATCTCGTATTACCAATCTAAGATAAAGAAACCAATAACAAAAACCCCCCATCAAAAACCACTACTTCAACAGGAAGAAAAAAAATCAAAAACCTAATCAAATCAAACTATCCAAAACTCAATACCTAGCCCTCGTTAATAGTGAGATTAACACCACGCAAGATCTCATGCCTCGACTTCGTGACCACGGCCCTCAGCCCTCATATCCTTCACCTCCAGCAACACTCTCCCTGTTCCTCGCCGCGGCATTTGGCGGCGGGAGGGGAGTCAACGGTGAGCGTGACCTTTAGAGAGGATGAGTTCCCTCACATCTCGTGATGGTGTTAGGGTTGAGGGAGAGAAAAGGGGGTTGGTGGCTGGGCAACGGGTCGGCGGCGGCGATCGATCGTCGGGTCGAAGGCTGGGCGCGGACCGGCTAGGCGGCGACAAGGAGGGGCGGCGATGGTGTTAGGGTTGAGGGAGAGAAAGAGGATCAGATGGTTTTGGGGATAAAGAGCCACGGAAATCTCAAAACACCTAATAGGTGTTTTGTGATAAGCGTTACATTTTTTATTTTTGTATACGGTCAGCTCAAATAAACACTCCGGTTCCCAAACAGGTTTGATTGATTTTTTTTAAAAAAAGAAGCGGAAATAGAAAAACGCTCCACTTACCAAACGCTCAAATTTTAAACGAATATTTGATAAGCAAATGGATTAAATATACATCTGGTTAAATTCTATTTATTTATGAATTCGAATACTACAAATTATTTGTTTAGTTAAATGAACTACCGAACCAAATATAACCAACTAGTTACTTGAATAATTGTCGAAGTATTTGTTAATTATTTGGTTTGTTTCCACAGTGCTGGTATCTGCTTAATTTTGCTGATTGTTTTTGTTTTCCAGAGTTGTAATTGGATATGATGAAGGAACCATAATGATAAAACTTGGCCGTGAAGTGCCAGTTGCTAGTATGGACAGCAGTGGGAAAATTATATGGGCAAAGCATAACGAAATACAAACTGTGAATATCAAATCAGTTGGAGCAGACTATGAGGTTGGTTTGATGTTGCATAAGATAGCATTAGTTTTTCCTTGAGTATCTATTGTGGGATGTGGAATTTACCCTTGCCCGTCAGGTTACTGATGGAGAAAGACTGCCTTTGGCTGTAAAGGAGTTGGGAAGCTGTGATCTTTATCCACAAGTAAGTTCCTATCTGAGCAATTCTTTTGTCTCTCCTTGTCTTATCTTATATGTATGCGGATTAGGTCGGGTATATCTGAACTCATTTTCACCCCTATCAGATATTGTTTCTTCCCTAGTTCATCATCTATTATTTTGATCTTTCTCATTTTGACATTGGTGTCTGTAAAGTTCACCCGAATACTGCCTTCATTTGGAATATTATAAAATCCAGTTTATGGGTTCGCTGCCAGGTGTATCCGAACAGACCACTTTCGTTTTTATTCCTTTATCATTATTTATTTTTGCTACTTGGGCTGATAAGAGTTACTTGATGAGATTAATTGTAATAATCCACTCTGAACGAGAAAATCATTAATTGTGATGAATCAGTACAGGTGTATCATTGATCAAGTGCATGACTATGTTCTTTACACCCATAATAAAGAGCAGGAAAAATCTGTCTTAAGGCATGTATTCATCAGTCAAGAGAAGCAAGTACTAGGAATAAGCTAAAATGTTATGAGTGTTTGCTTAATTGTATATCAAAATACAAGCCTGATACGGCCTCACCATCTTTAAGAAGTATGAAACATGCTAACAAGGAGAATATTCTTTCTTGCATTGTTTTTGACACAAATGGTACCCAACTTGTCATCTTAACTGTTCTCTTGTTGACTATCCATATTCGATAATAATCACAAGCTGCTGCTTAGATGAATAACATAAAATTTCTCGTGGAGTAGAGAACGGTAGCAAAATAACAAAATGATGCAGTAGAAACTAATTATAACGTACTGGTTATAATCTTCAAATTTGAGTAATCATTGTTGTACCAGTAAAAGGTAGTAATAGTTGATCTATTTCGTAATTTTTCAGACCTTGAAGCATAACCCCAATGGAAGATTTGTTGTTGTTTGTGGAGATGGAGAATATATTATATACACTGCACTGGCATGGAGAAATCGATCATTTGGATCTGCTTTGGAGGTTGTCTGGTCAACTGAAGGAGAATATGCAGCCAGGGAAAGTACTTCGAGAATAAAGATTTTTAGCAGAACATTCCAGGTCAGTATTTTTCCATCTTTTACTTTGATATGTATTTCATAGCACCAAGGTTTGTAGTTTCGACGGTTTTCATTTTATATGTAAATTTTATAAGATTAAGCCAAGCACGTTGTACGAATAGACTCCTTTCCAAATTACAACCATCAGCAGTTTTCTGTTTTATTCAAGTAGTGTGAATCGAGTTTGTTGGTTTTGACATTTTCTAGGAGAAGAAAAGTATCCGGCCTACCTTCTCTGCTGAACGAATTTTTGGGGGAACATTACTTGCAATGTGCTCCCATGACTTCATTTGCTTCTATGACTGGACAGAATGCAGGTTGATACGTAGAATTGATGTGAATGTCAAAGTGAGTTTTATTCCTTGACTTTCTTAGTTGGCATCAATATACCAGTTACAGTTTTGCACTATTTTGAACTTGTTTAACAGATAATTTTTTCAGAATCTTTACTGGGCTGATAGCGGCGACCTGGTGACAGTTGCTAGTGACACGTCATTTTACATCTTAAGATACAATGTAAGTGGGCCAATCGATGTTGTGCATTCTAATGAACATCAATCTGTAAACTTAAGTAGTTTGCACACATGCTAATTGAATAACAGTGGAGGGATATGCTCTCTAGTGTGTAGTTTACTCGTAGGAGAAGTTTGCAGTTGTATTATTGTCTTAATGAGTGCATTTAGAAATTATTATTTTATTTTCTTCCTGGCAGAGGGATGTTGTTTCCTCTTATTTAGAAAGTGGAAACCAAGCAGATGAGCAAGGTGTTGAGGAAGCTTTTGAACTTCTACATGAGATAAATGAGCGGGTTCGAACTGGAATTTGGGTTGGAGACTGTTTCATTTACAATAATTCTTCTTCAAGGCTGAATTATTGTGTCGGTGGAGAGGTAACTTTTACATAAGTTTGTAAGGTTGTAAATGTGCATTTTATCCATAGGTATTCGAACATAAATACTTGTTCTGCTAAATGTAGGTCACCACAATGTTTCATTTGGACCGGCCTATGTACTTGTTGGGGTATCTTGCTAGTCAAAGTCGGGTGTATCTTATTGATAAGGAATTCAAGTGGGTTAATTATAATCTCAGTATCATTTTCTTCTGTCGCTATCGTTCACTCACAATCTATAATTTTCCAATGCAGTGTCATGGGATACACCCTCCTCCTTAGTTTGATAGAGTACAAAACACTTGTGATGCGTGGAGATTTAGATCGTGCGAATCAAGTTTTACCATCAATTCCTAAAGAACATCACAACAGGTATGCAGTTTTGCTATTTGAGATTCATTTGGCATATACTAATATTGGCCTTCTCTTGTTCATGAATTATGAGTGGAATTGAATCAAAAAATAGATAGATATTCTCATATTCTTAGGGTGTGTTCGGCAACTTCAAAATTGAACTAGGGTAGACTAGTTTTTTCTTAACTAGGCCAAAGCTGAACCATAAAAGGGTTGGTTCACAAATGAGCTAGTTTAGGGGCAAGATTTGGAACTAGAAAGAACTAGTTCAATCTGGGCCCAATTTTCGCCAAACTTAAAACAAGGTTTTGGACTAATATTGTACCACGTAAAACAGGTTTTACGGAGTTGCCAAACACACCCTTAGTCTATTAGATAGAGTCATCTTGTCTAAAATTAGTCTATTAGATAAAGTCATCTTGGCTAAAATTTTCATATGTTGGTATGGACGTTGCCGTGTCCATAACATAATTTGATCTGAATATCTTGGCAACTATGAATGTCCCACCCAC